GAAGCAAAAAACACGTCGATGTCCTCTTTAACATCTTCCACATTGGCATACGTTTTCCCATTAAGATGGTGTAGCAGTGAATGTAAAAGATGGTAATCTGATGGTGCCATATCTGGAGAATATGGTGGGTGGTGGAGAACTCTCAACCCAACTACATAATCTTGTGTTGCGTCAAACGAGCCACATGTAGACGTGCATTGACGTGGAGATGAAAAACACCTTTCCGATTGATGAGTGAAGGGCGTTTCTGATGAAAAGCTTTATTTAAACGTTCCAATTGCTGACTACAAATCTCTGGATTGACAGTTCGCTGTGGATTGGGGAGTTCGAAATGAATTACTCCTTTGATATCCCACCAAATGCAAAGCATCACTTTCCGCGGATGGAGTCAAGGTTTAGGGGTCGGAAGTAGTTTTTGTTTAGGACTGAGCCATTGTTTTAGGTGTTTAATTTTCGCATAGAGAATCCATTTTTCATCACCGGTGACAATTCTGTCCAAAAATGGTTCGCGCGCATTACGCGCCAGAAGAGACGAAGCAACGTTCACACGTTGGATCATCGGAGAGTTCATGAGGCACCCAAACACCTTCTTTAAGAAGTTTTCCCATATTCCTTAGATGTTTACATATTGTTTCATGAGAGACATGCAACTTCAGGGCCATTTCATGTGTGTGTGTGTTGCCTTGGGTTAGACTCAACAAGCGTATTCAGAGCATCAATGTCAATTCCAATATGTCAGCTCCTGACATCGCAGTTCTTAAGGCTAAAACCACCTGAACGAAATTTGCTGAACCATCTTTTACACTTAGGAACGTTCAAAACATTTCCATTAACTTCGTTAATATTCTTTGTGGCTACAGAGGCGTTGTTTTCCTTCTTGTATTCAAACAGCATTACATGCCGAATGTGTGTTTCGTCGTGTGTCATTACTATAAGGAATTAGAGTATAGTAAACTTTACATATTATATAGGCTACACTAAAGTGACGTTTAGGCGGTTCGTGTAACTATTATACGTGATGTATGTTTGGGGGGGGGGGCTGGTTAATGAAAGTGTTCCAAAACGCGACATTTATTTCTTGACGATCTAATATAATCATCTGGCTGTGGAGAGCATCAACAGAAAATAATAAAGAGAACAGTAATCACAAATATTGAGTTGGGATAACGTGGTAGGTGTAGATGCTGTGTGGTAATACTGACTACCAAACTTAACTCTTTATAAGTTCATTTCTATGATATTCTACATTCATTTATTGTCATAAGGCTTTATTATTCCTTTAGAAATCCACTCTTGAACACCTCGAACTTATATCTTGAGATTCTGACATTTGACTGATGGGAACCAAAAAAGCAACTTTTTTTATCCTAAAACCCTCATAAAGTAGAGTTATAATTGGAGTGTTAGTTTTCTATAGTTTTATAAAGAATATTGCATCGGTGTACACTTTCTTTATAATTTGTATTGCACCATTCATCTGATTATTCGCAACTTTAACCTCACATTTGACGTATATTCAAATTTCAATAAATCTTTGCCAGCTAGATTTGATAAGTTTCTTTTACTGTTCTTGTAATGCACGTGTGAATCTTCATTAAGTATGAATAACCAAAGCATTTACTAGCTGTAAGTATATTTATATTTAGCTTTGTTGTGTTGCAATTGTATTGACATTGAATATTAGTATTCTGATATACGTAAGCTACTATTGAAATGGTTTGCAAAAACATTAAACTTTAAGAATAGTCGTGTTTATATTGTTTAAAAATATGCCAATTTCAGTAAAAACATTCACCTGTCTGTAACAGGTAGAAATGTCCTTATGACTTAAACTATAAACCAAAAAATACAAATTTCGAATGTCTAGATATGCATTTACATTGATTATGAGATTGTGAGGTTACACAAGTAAAATTACAACAGTTAAATAAACCAAAACCAAGTGAAAATAGAACATTCTGAATATATGTTTGGTGTATGAATAGGAGTATCTCCTCCTTCGTATATCATATGAACAGAGAAGGTGATTTAGATCTCATAATGTTCCGTTTTGTGAGAATATCTTACATCGCTGGGCTTTAAGTAAATATTCATTAGTTCGAGAATTAATTGACATTTTGAGTAACTTACTGTGCCATAAATAAATTTGTAACAAAGTGATTGTTGAAGCCTAGGTAATGAATTTCTGATAAAGTGATTGCCTGTGTAAGTGTTTTAATTAGTCTGAGCTTTGTGGTATTGTAAAAATGTTTCAGCAAGTAAGTCCCACTAATAGTAGGAGATTCAAGGAATAAGTAGGGTGCTATTAAAAAGACATTCTTGAAATGAAGGACTTGAATAAAAGATAACACAGACAACAAAGTTCACAACAGAATAAAGTCAACATTGTTCACTGTCTACTGTCTATCTCATTAACAGGGAATTTACCATTCTCAAACTACTTTTTTTTGTGGTAAAACCTACACTTTAATTGCTATTAAAAAGACATGACAGGGTCATACGGCAAAGACTTCTACGAGCACTTCTCTACAGATCTAGGATTTGGACTGTACCAAAGCTGCAACAAGAGTGAAGGTGAAGCGAAAATCAAGACATAAAAGAGCACAATAATAAAAAAAAAGAGTGTTTTCTTGTTCACATAAAAGGAATTACAAAATGATCAACTTGTAGCCCATTAAAAAGTTAGGCCTACAATGTAGGAAGACATACTTTTAAGTTGTTATGGGTTATACAATAAGAACACGAAGATAATTTATAGTCAGTAGTTAGCAGAAAAATGTTTCAATCTTAAGGTATTGGTTTAAAGAATTAAAGTTATGGAAGGAGTAAGTCTGATCTTCAAAGGATATTATAATATATTGTTGCGTCAGCGAGGTCACGTGACTAGTATTACGCCACTTCTCTCGAACCTTCGTGAATTATCGGGAGACTACTAGATATGTGTTAGTCTTGTATATATAAGACGTTGACAACGTGACGGAACAACAGTGTAGTGAGTAATTGAACTGCAGTCAGAAAGTATTGTTGAAGTTGAGCACGTTCGTTGTTATAGCGCGACTGTTGAAAATAAGTGTATCGGTAAAGTTATATTCAGAAAGAATAAACCAGTTTTATTAAGAAAGGACTTGTGTCGCTAAAGTTTCGTGGGAACGAAGTTACGGAAAATCAACTAACGAACGGAGACGTAACAATATGTTCAGTTATTTAAACAGTTAACACATGAAGGCGTTACTGCTCTGAAAACATTGGAAAAAGACACCAATACAAAGATCGTTAGTGGAATTTATCTTGAATTAACTATCAATAAATACACGACTGATTTGTCATTTAAGTTTAAACAACTAAGAATCAAACGAAAGATTACCATCTTCTTTAGTATTAGTGTATTTTCAATAATACACATTCAACTTCTTCAACGAACGGTTATTACAAAATTTAATATACCACCTAAATGCGTAGAGATAAAATTATTCTAATACTCATTCCCTATATGAGCGTGATCCCAATATAAACTAACGTAAATGGGCTAAAAATCAACATTTTAACATTGTTATAGAGCAATAAACTCTTTATTCTCAGTACAGAAAGCTAATGCTAAAACAACCTTAGATTAACTAGATAAAGCTCAAACTTTAAGACTAGGCTTACATTGGTAACCTTATACTATAGGATATTGTTACTTATTTAGTTGTGTTATAATGGACCTGTAATCAAGGTTTCTTAGTATAAATTGATTTGATCAGTTTTGTAAAATAAACTACCTGTTCAAGCTCAAAGTTGGTTAGAAATTTATACACTAAGAAAATGGCTAGAGAGAAGTTATTGTTGGTTAACATGATTTTCTTACTTGTTAGTAGTGATTAAGATACATACAATTAATTCGTGGCAAGAAATGGCTGTGATTATGCGCATTACATCCTCGGAAATCCTCAGTTAAATCGAGAAAACATCATTCAATTTATTACCACATATAACTGTAGCTGCAATATTTGGTACTTCTACGCAAAAATCTGAAAGACAGATAAAAATTTCAAAAACTGAAAGAGTATTTACATTTATTTGGACTAACTAGATTATCCCGTTTTTTATATTTATTTATTGTTAATCACGAAGCTACTCACTGGGCTATCTGTGCTGTGCTCATCACGAATATCGAAACCCGATTTTAAGCGATATAAGCCCTCAGTCTTACCATTGAGCCATCGGGATGGGGAGAGCAATTGTTGTGTGAGACATGATGTCAAAGCAATAATAAAACTCAGTACAGTTACTGAAGCTTCATAGCAAAATATTCAATTATAATAAATGCGTTTTGTCTAAGAAAGTGAAAATATAATGAATTTCCTTTAGTAACGCAAATAAGCTGTTTGTTTGTTTTTTTGCACTTTAAAAATTATATGGCAAACTAACTACTATTTCCTGTATTAGTACCACAGTATACACTAAACTACTTAATCACTTTAGACAGACCAAGAACAAATAATATACCAATTCATAAGTTTAAACTAACTATTCAAAGGTTGCCAGCACTACGTATGTGGCTTATAATGATAAACATTGAGTTTTGATACCCGTGTTTGGCGGAACACAGAGAGTCCTATGTGTACCTTTCTGATTAACAATAAACAACATCTTAAGCTGGGAATTATACGTAGTCGATAATGGAAAGTCATTAACATTACATCGTGATAAGTGATTGTTTATCTCTCTTTTTATTGCCCCCCCCCCAGTAGTTCAGAGGTAAATCAAACTATTTTTATTAAAAAACTAATTCTCCGCGGTCTATTAAAACAAAAAGAAAATGTTTAATGTACTTGCGCAAAACTACCCAAGGGCTATCTACACATAGTCATCCCAAATTTCGAACTAACAAACTAAAGGGAAGACATCTTGTCAACAGTACACGCCACTAACTATTAAGCCACTCTAATCAAGCTTTTTGATATAATAATGACTACAGCTTCATGTAAAACTGAAAAATCGAGATGTTTCATAACCTTTCGTACCACCCATCCTGTAACGTATATTATTGTGTTCCCGAAAACAGCGTCTAGTGATTTGCTGAAATAGCAGGAATATTTATATATCACCATACTGGTATCTCCAGCAGGTAAAAGGTCTTGTACACGTATCTATCATCTCCTGATAAAGCTTTGAAGAGTTTATATAGAACTAGAAACAAAATCTGTGCCATCTTTTGCAACCACATTCTAGACCTGTCCTGATGTTAATCATATCTTATTAGCAAATGCCCACATTATAAAGAAATTGTAACATAAGGACTTTTGCAACCACATTCTAGACCTGTCCTGATGTTAATCATATTTTATTAACAAACGCCCACATTATAAAGAAATTGTAACATAAGGACTTTTGTGTCATCTACAAGGCAAACGATCGGTTATTCCTCCTGTATCTTACTCAGCTGTTTGACTTACATAATAATAAGCCTAATTGCTTTATTGGATTATATATATAAATTAAACATCTACGACATTTTTCTCCAGAGTTTTCTTGTTTCCTTTTTATTTAAATCACCTAGTATTGACCCTATTTCTTACAGTGCCTTGCGAAAGTATTCACCCCTGCAAAGTTTCCACATTTTGTTGCCGTCTGAGCTTGCAGTAATGAAACTTTCAAATGGTACCTTACATTTAGAATCTACACAATATACTCCAAGCTGAGAAAGCTAAAAAAAACAAAAAAAAAACGCTACTATTATGTAAGTAAGTTAGATTTTCAAAGAATTATCATTTGCATAAATATTCAACCCCTTTGCTACAGCAACCTTAAATCATTTCAGGTGCAAAAGATTAATTTGAAAGGTTATGAAATTAATGTAATGGTCTCTGTCTGTGTACAATCAAAGTGGTATAACTTGACTTTAGAGTAAATGCATCTGTTCAAGCTACAACTCACATAGTGATACGACAAATCAACCCTGAAGACCAAGGAGCTTTACAAACAAGTCAGGGATAAAGTGATAGAGAAGCACAGATCAGGAGAAGGTTACAAGAAATTTTTAAAGTCGCTGATTATCCTTTTGAGTACAGTGAAGTCCATCATTAAGAAGTGGAATGTTCTTCATACCACCCATCACTACCCAGATCAGGCCTTTCTTCCAAATTAAGCAGCCAGGCAAGCGGGAAACTGGTTAGGGATGGCACTCTGAAGTCAACAGTGACTTTGAAAGATTTGAGAAGTTCCATGTCCCAGTCCCTACACAAAGCTGGCCTGTATGGGCGAGTAGCAAGAAAGAAACCATTACTGAAAAAGAATCATCTTAAATCTCGTATTGAGTTTGTGACAAAGCATGTAAATAATACTGCAGACAGGGGCAGAAGATTTTGTGGTGACATGAGACAAAAATTGAGCTTTTTGGTCTAAATTCAATGCGTTATGTCTGGTGCAAACCTAACACAGCACATCACCCAGACAACAAAATCTCAGCTGTCAAGCATGATAGTGGCAGCATCATGTTATGGGGATGCTTCTCATGAACAGGTACTGGGAAGCTTGTCAGGATTGAGGGGAAGATGGATGGTGAAAGTACAGGCAAATCCTAGAGGGAAACCTGTGTGAGTCAGCCAAGAATCTAACACTTGGTCGAAAATTCACATTTCAGCAAGACAATGACCCGAAGCACAAGGCCAAAGCCATACTGAAGTGGTTTCCAAAGAAGAACGTGAATGTCCTGGAGTGGCCCGAAAACAATTTATAGCGAGATTTGAAGATTGCAGTCCAACAACAATCCTCAACAAACTTGCCAGAATTGGAGCAATTTTGCCAGGAAAAATGGGCAAAAATCCACCATCCCATTGTGCAAAGCTGGTAGAGACTTATCCAAAAAGAATCACAGCAGTAGTTACTGGCAAAGATGCTTCCACCAAGTACTGACTTAGGGGCTGAATACTTATGCAATCAGAAAATTTCAATTTATATATATTTTCTTTGCAGGTTTTGCTGACATTCAAACTCCTCCACACACATAACAGTGGTACGTTTGATCATTAGAGTTTTGAATAAAAACAAGTTCATTAAAAATTGTTTACATTATTTTTATTTAATCAAAATGTGACATTGGTATGGATGAATACTTTTGCAAAGTACTTTAGATCACACAATAAAACCCTTTATTTTTTCATATTATAAGATTCACATGAAAAGAGGAGCATATTCATTGACAAGTTTTGATCTCATGGTCCGATTGTGAGTTGAGTGCCCTAACCATCAGGCCGTTTTCAGGCCAGATTATTTATATGCCAGTCTTTAAAATATTTTGCTAACTTCTATTTTTCTGTCGATTTCCTTCCTACAAAAACTCCTCTCAGGATATATTATTCTATTTCTTGTATACTTTTTGACTTCATATCTCACTTATTGTATATATCAATCCAGTTCGCTGGATTAAGAAATGTATAATTACTGAGATAAGATAAACCATTATAGCTAGTCACTAGAATCCCTGAAGGAAAATCTAGCTTTTTGATAAACACCTGTTATTATATTGAATTCCGTTATTGTCAGGTTCATTTTCTTATAAGATCAATTATTTTCTCAACATTCCATTTAACTGTGTCATAACTTATTCAATGTTAGTCTTGTTCTTATTCAATGTTGTCAAGACATTACTTTTTGTTGACCACATTATACATATTTTGCTTATATTTCATAAAACTTTGCTCTTCCACATGGAAATCCGTTAAAGTCATGAAATATTCTATCACAATCAAATAAAATATTTGCTACATCAAGTTTATATTTGTTATGATGTTTATGCTGTCATCTATAAATTTCATTCATTACTGATAATTTTATCCAACCATAACAAATTTTGATACGATCTATTTAAAATACTGAGCACTACTCTTTCCAAAAACATCACAAAACTGTATTTTCTCTCAGATGCAGTTTTAGCCTCTCCATTACTCTTATCTTTCATAAAAAATTCACTGCATGCCACATATTTCAAGGCAGAAACTGAAACATTCTGTCGCAAGTATCAATAAAAATAACAGGTACATTGTATCCTCAAATCGGTCAGTAATCATAGTTAACCTTCTATAACAAAATCTTAGCATCCAGATCAAATTCTTTATTTTCATTTTAATGAGGTTTAATACTTATGTTCATTGCGTAATTGATCCATTTGTGTTATAAAACACTCATGATGAGTTCGGGTAATGTTCCTATATGCATGTGGGATCAGATACATGTATTTATTAATACATATATATCTTCATTACACATTGTCACATACATTAATAGCTAACAACAGACTGCCTCTGGCTGTCACTCAAATTACTTCATAACCATCTTGGGTTCCTTTATGAAGCTAATACTTGTACCAAGGAAGCCAAGGCTCGTTTTTGGGGTACAATGAACAGTGATGAGGGTATCTCTGTGCATTCATGTTGACCAACCAGTTCTTGTAAATTCACCTCTCCACCAGCAGCTATGACCTGATATACCCTCTGCAGAAGATTTATTTCTGGTGCAGCTATGTATGTATCTTCAGTAACTTTCTTCTTGACTCCTGCAACTTAAAAGGTATTGAGTTTACCTGAAAACTTGTCACCTCCTTTCTCTAGACATGGCTTCAGTGTCCTATCCCCAATCTGTTTTACATAACTGAGATCCGTCTGTACTTTAAAAGAAGCGTATACTGGAGAAGAATCCTTGCATGGGTTTACCATCTTCGTGCAACTACCTGGAGTCCTCGCTGTACATTTTGAATATTTTAGATGATATATGATAATTTTGCTTCATGGCGACGAGATGCTGTTGCTGTATCAGGCTCTAGGCTCAGTATCATTTTCAGTTTTCCAGCTACTGCAGCCATGAGGGATTTTGTGCACAACCATTTTCTCTGGGCTTTGAGTTTCAATGTGATATCAATGAGTCCCTGTTTCTGCTTTATTTCAGCATTGGAAATTTCTTTGGAATAGGTTGGCATTCTCTTTGATCAGTCATTGTGGATCTAAAAATAAAACTAATAATGCCTAGCATACTAACCAACTAACCATATATTATCATAACTGTAAATTATATAAAAATGATTGCTCAATGATGATACCTAAGGAACAAAACATAATAGTGAATATCATGTAATAGTTGCAGTCACCAAATTATTCAAGGACCTAGAAAATACTAGACTAAAGAAAGCTTCACATAATATCAATCATAATCATAATATGGAGTACCTGAAAGGGAATAAAACTGTCTTGATGTATAATACAAGTTTATCTGCAAATGACAATATATCAACAGTAGAAAATAATACATAAGTTTGCATATTATTACTCTTAAATAACCATCCGGTTATATAAAATATATTTTTTTCTAAACTTTACACATTCACAGTAATATTTGAAACCTATATAAAATAAAACTAGTAAAATAAAATCATCTTATGTGGCACAGCATTAACATGATCATGAAATATTTTGTGATAAATTTGGGATAGTGTGACATTACAAATACCTTTCTGTAAAATTACATGGAGATTTGCCAGCCTGGATGTGATCCTTAGAGTCCACAGTATTGAAAAAATGGCATCACCCTTTTACAGCAAGCCGTGTCCACTGGACCACCCTTAGCTCCTTAGGTATTGGTAACTGTGTTCAGGTAAAGTGCTGTCACTTACTAGCCATCAAACTGGTGCAATTTACTTTTCAGGCATCACGAAAAAATAACTACCAACAGAATTCCGCTAAAGTACTCGTAAATCAGAATCATTATTTGTGCTTTTACTACAGTATATATCAATATATACTCAGATGAAACACAACTCCCTCACTGTATCTGAAAGGTATACACCTTACAGATTTATTGAAATACATCTAGTGAGAACTATACAGAGTTCTTGCTACCCAGCTAAATCAGGTGAATAATTTTCACAAAATATTTCACCTAGAAAAAAGATTCAGTAGCTCAGAAAGCAATTCTCATAAAGCTTTTTAGCTTAGTTTTCAAATTCCTAGCTATCATCTTCAGTTGTGCATATTGTTGATGTATTACACCAACTGGCACCAACCACCCTAAACTATTTTAATCTAGCAGCTATCATCCAATACCCTATGGATATCTATTGTAATAAAACTATGCTCAATATATAAGGAAGTAAGGGTTGCAAATTCCTTTTTTTTCTTGCTAACCTTCCAGTCAACAAATCATCATAACTTCAAATAACTGAGTGGAAATCATACAATATGGTACATACATTGTACCTTATAACACCACTCAATACCTCAGAAAGCAAGGGTTGTAATACCCTTTCAGTTGAGTTTTAAACTCCTACCTATCATCTTCAGTTGTACAGAGTGATGGTTCACTAAACGTTGCATCTACTGCACCAACCATTCCAGCTTCATTGTAATTAAATGGATTAATGCGTCCTTTCAATCATTGGTTTGGTTCCCAAATGACTCACTTAGCGCCGTTGATTGAGTTCAATCCTAGCCAAATTAATTGAGAGGTTTTTGTTGGCAGTTCTAGATCTGGCACTTCCTAAACACCCAGATGAGTATTCTCATCTCTTTCCTCTTTAGCTTTGGGGTCGTAGTGGGATAAAATACCTCCTCTTATGACCCTTGATCAAGCCACATTTCGTCAGAGATTCATTGGGCATGTATGGATGCAGTTAGTCAATATGTACTTATGTACTTTCACGTGTCCTTTGGCTGTTGAAACTTGTACATTTATGAACCAACTCTTCAGAGCACAAGCTGAGTTCCTGTCCAACTAAAGCCAAGAAGTTTCAATTCATAAGAAACCCAGAACCTGTTTCTACTTTGGTACATTCATTCCTTTGCTATTTTATTGTAGCACCTTTTATGTCATATATTGGCATTTTCCAGCTTTTGACTTGCAAGCTTGTGCACGCCAATTAATGCAGACCTTTACCACTCCACATATTCTTATAAATATTGTATGATGCTTACTGTAGACAGAGGGACATATATTTCATGCACAGCGAAAACACTTCTCAACCAAACATAAGCATATTCGGTGACCAGCTGTTAATTTCAGGTTAGGTGATCCTGATTTTAAAAGTTTAGCAAGCATATACTTGACAGTCTGTATCACTCATTACACTAAATCTTCAGGCTGAGTGTAATAAGGGAAAATATACATCTTCATCCTAAACTTTACACAACTTAGAGGACTGTTGTCTGTTAAAGGTAGTTCCGTGAATAATGTTTATCTCTTCAGGTGCTCAAAATTTGGCTTGCCAGTGCTCCTCCAATGCATCAGCCACAGACTATGTGGATATAATAACAAACAGATAAGCTTCAGCCCACTTCGTGAAGAAGTAGTTAATGACTATGAGTATATACAGGTGACCTCAATCTGTTACTAGAAGTGGTCCAGCAATATCCAGGGTGTTTACCCTGTTTAGGCTGACTTTTTCTTTGGGTGGTACACACACTATTCATTGTTTACAGTCTCAGTTTCAGTCGTGTCCAGAAGAACCACCATCGATCATCAGTACAAGTAATAATAATGTTTGATGCCCCATTTTTATGCTAAGCAAAATCAGGAGAATCTCATGTCTCAAAGCTCTGGGGACAACTAGCTGTAACACCAGCTG